GCACTGGCTACTGATGGAAAACATTTCTTTCAGAGTGAAAACCTGCTGAAAGAGCTGAGGAGCTGACATGTGACTGAGGGGTTACACTCACTGGTTTCTTGAGAATGAAGCTCTTCTGAAGAGACACAAAGAAAGCAGTGCGCCCAAACCGTTCTTTCTCCTGCAGCCCTTTCTTCCACCAGGCTTCACACAGTGCGTGGATGTGGTTCTGCAGAGGTGCTTCTGAGACAGGAAGCGACACCAGTACATCTGAAGGACACAGACACACACAGATGCTCATTATTATTTAAGCTTTTCTGAAAAGGCAAAGATCAGATGGCAATTATGTGTTACCTTTGGATTGCAAAGGTAACACATGTGACTTTCTGGCCTCATTGCAGAATAAAAGCATTTTCACTGAAACGTCCACGATTCATCTCATAAACTGAGCAATTATGATGGTTTTTCAGGTTGTTTTTTCATAACTGGTAAAAGAATTGGTGCTTATAACAGCTGTTTTCTACTCTTACAGGATAATCAAAGCTCTATAATGTATATATTTATAAGTTAGGTATAAATATCTATCCATCTATCTATCTGAATGGGAAGAGCAACATATGCAACTCATTTGCTGTAAAAATGTGCAAAAAACACAAACAATCACCGTGAAGACGTCGGGTAACTTCCAGAAGGGGGCTATAGTGGTCATCGTCTTGTAAAACCTGCAGAGACACTGTAGAGACGAGCGTCACGCCGTCCACAACAGCCACAGCGCGTTTCTGGGAAAAAAGTTAATGCACCAGATGTTAAAAGATACAATTAAGCAAAATGTGAAAAAGCTTAAAAGCAATGTGATATTACAAAAATCAACATAGGAGTGCTTTGCATACATCTAGTCCTTAATATTCGAATAATATCACTGACAAAGACTAAGCATGGGGTCAGTGAGCTGATCCTTTTACTCACAGAGTCTGCAGTGGGCTCCTCCTGCATGCCGCCCTCCTCCCCCCTGCCCTCCCCGCGCTCTGTGGGAAACTCCAGCAGGACGTCCTGAAGCAGAGATGCCAGTCTTCTCCACAGGGCCTCCCTCTGCTCTCTGGGCATCTCCTGCAACACCTCCTCCACATCGAAGGGCTCGGCTTTGTCCTTCTGCTCAGATTTATAGACAGACAGGCACAGCTTTGACTGGACAGCCATGTGTTATGCACATTTAATAAAAATATAATAACTGAAGAAATTATTTTTGTCTGTGATTCCAATGTCAATTGTGACCGCCACATTAAAAAAAGGTCTTTTGGGGGAAAGGGTTGTTCTTGCTTTTTTTCTCACTTCACCTTTCAGCACATCCATTTTTTCTCCATAAAAATCCACAATTTACTTCTCACCAGGCTGAGTCAGACTTAGTTTAGGTCACATTTATTTATTTATTTTTATTTGAAATATAATTAAAAGTTCAAGTCTGCCTTAACGACAAACCACACAAAGGACAAATTTCTTCCTTTTTTACCCCACCGGATGCTAAAACTACCCTGATATTAATATTCTGAATTTGTCACAGCTAACTCTTACATACTGTTCAGGTCAAACCTGGCCCGTTTTGACAAATTTAACATTTCTTTTATTTTCGTTTCTTTTTTTTTTAATAGGGCATGGGTGACAAAGTTGTAGGGGGACCTGTCTATGTGCTGGTCTATGAACGGTCATGGGGGGAATCTCCATACATGAGGGTTAAACAGGCTTATTATCAATAGATTATCCTGGGTGGTTTTGCCTTGCCTCTCTGTAACACTTGTGGACTTATGTGCTGTGATTGCTTACTATCCATCTGTGACATAACTCTGAGAAAAGCCTCAGCTCGGGCTGCACTGTGAGTACTGACAGGAAGTAGAAAGAAAGGTCATGTTTCTCTCATTTTGGCTTCTCTCCATTGACTCCCTGTTAAACCAAAGGTAGAATTTAAAATTGTCCTCCTCACATTCAAAACCCTTTAATCACTGAGCTCCATCACATTTTAAAGACCTCACAGTGTAAAACTGAGCACTTTTATTTCAGAGTACAGGCCTCCTACGGCTATAAAAGAGTACATTTGCAGAGCATTCGGCTTGATTCAGGAAGGGCAGAGCCTCTCTGCTTTAAAGTTGGGCTTAAATTATATTTATATACTAACGTTGCATAACATCAACTTTGTATCCTGCAGTTTGGGAGTTTTCCTCCCTGTACCTTTTTCCAGGCTCGTCTCCATCTGCTCAGTCTAAGACTTTGGAGGGTGAAGCAACCAATTACATGACAGCAACTCAGTGCATTTAGACATTCAGACACACAACATGAACCACTGAAGTTGAAATGTAGCGTGAGCATGTAGAATAAAGGTGATTTAAAATACTTTGAATCTGGCGTGGTTGTCTGTGCCAGACAGGCTGGTCTGAGTATTTCAGAAACTGCTGATCTGCTGAGATTTTACCACACAGCCATCTCTAGGCTTTACAGTGAGCTGCATTTCTCTGGGTGAAAATGCCTTGGTGACATCAGAGGTCACGGGAGAATGGCCAGACTGCTTTAAGCTGATAGGAAGGCAACAGTAAGTAAAATAGTCACTCATTACAACCAAGGTATGCAGAAGAGCATCTCTGAATGCACCTCACGTCATACCCTAAGCAGATGGGCTACAGCAGGAGAAGACCACACCAGCTGCCAGGCCTTTCAGCCAAAAACAAGAAACTGAGGCTACAATCTGCACAAGCTCACCAAAATTGGACAGTAAAAGATCAGAAAAACCGTGCCTGGTCTGATGAGTCCCAATTTCTGCTGTGACATTCAGATGACAGGGTCAGAATTTAGCATAAACAACATGAAAGCATGGATCCATCCTGCCTTGCATCGATGGTTCAGGCTGCTGGTGATGTAATGGCCTGGGGGATATATTCTTGGCACACTTTGGACCCATCAGCTTCAGTTGAGTATGGTTTAAATGTCACAGCTACTGGAGTCGTGTTGATGACCACCTCCATCCAATTATGAAAACAGCGTCCCCATCTTCTGATGGCTGCTTGCTATGCCACAAAGCTCAAATCATCTCACACTGCTTTCTTGAACATGGCAGTGAGTTCACTGCACTCAAATGTCCCAAACAGTCACCAGATCGAGATCATGGATGGATGTGCTTGAGTAAATCAAAGCCTATTTAAAAATAGTCTGGAAGATTTTTATCATCGTCTTGGTGAATTTTCCTTTGGTTATAGGCCAAAACCTCTTTGGTGAGTATTAAAAAAAACATGTAGGAGGGAAAAATGCTTACTTTACAACAGACAGTAAAAGTTTGTCAAAGTTGGGATCGAAACAAGCATTGTCAAATAACTGGACTCCAATTTTTAATAACCCCCCATGAGTACACTCCGTATCTTTAACTTTAAATAGCATTTTAATAGTGAACACAGCAACCATATTATTTGCATCTCATGTTTAGGACCTGACTTGAAGACTTTCCTGTACTACTTACACCTCACAGCCACACATCTACAGTTAAACAAGCTAAACAGGAGACTTCTAATAGCTTCTGGGTGTTTCAGGATTAACTCGCATTGAGTTAGCTACTTACGTGAAGCTGAATAAAGCGAAGAAAGCCCTCCACATTTTCTTTACAGGCTGCTTCTAAAAATGCCTCTCGCTTGGACATGATTCCTGCTTCCACAGTGATCCGAGGTAACCGTAAGTTTTCCTGTAATGCTGCTATGAAGCCACTATAGCGTTAGCTTGTCTCGCTGTAACAACTCCAAAACAACAAATATGGCAGTCCGTTTGTCGTTACCGTCAAAAGTGCTAATTGCAGACGCAGGGTTGGCTGGTACTAAGGCTCTCAATGATGCGCATTTGAATTAAGCTGCATTTCCTTCGTCTGTTACCTTTTTATTAAGGATTTTGTGAAAGGAAACAGTGAAATGACAGCGAGCCATAACAACAGCAAAACCCGCGCAAATTTGGATAAAGTCGGTTCCACACGTCATCACGTTTGTTTCGACGCTGACGTACAGTTGCAATTCTCTGCTTTTGCCACTGGATGGCGGCAAACCCCTACAGATGTTCTGTGTCTCAAAAAGCGTAAACGAGTAACATTATGGCGTTTTCGTATTACTTTTTTTGTGGATGATTCATATTATGGATTAGACCCCAGTCAAGAGACATTTATTTGCAAGGCGCACACCAAGCCTCACATAATATATCGTAATTCAAAGTGTTTATTATTCAGTCTTTGCTAGATTTACTATGCATTCAAGTGATTTCAGAATAATCGGAAAAAGGACAACTCCAAAAAAATTACGTCAATGCCAACCGAAGATATAAAAAAAAAAACAATTAGGAAATTCCCTTAATTGCTTTTTAGGTACGCAGAAAACGACAGGTCACTGGTCCTTGTTAACCTTCCCATATGACCTGCTCGACCTCCTGAGCTTCAGCCAGCCTGAAACTTTAAATATAAATATAAATATAGATTGTTGTTCAAACGAGACCAAAATACAAGACATCATCCGTTTGATTTTCATATTCCAAATTTAAGCACGACTTTAAGCACAACAAAGTTGCAAAATTTGGGGAACATCACAGAAGCACATGAAAATGGGGTATTAAAAAAAGCACACCAACTTTCACAAGATAAAACATGTATTCATCAAAAGCCATCCAAAATAATAACAATAAGAAGGCAAGTAAATTATATTTGTGTGGATTTTTTAAGGCACAGGATAGATAACCAGAAATGTATTTAACAGCTCCCATGAAACTCATAACTGCAAGGCAAAAACATACACAAGCACGACAAGGATGCATCATCTTGACACAGACTCTGGCAGCCCTGCTCATAAAATGCAAAAACTGTTGTCCCTGTTCATGTTTTTCAGTTTTTTCAACTTACATTTAGTTTGAAAACAGTCAAACCCTTATTCAAGTATCCTTTGCATAATGCACAGAGCTTTCTCATAGCCCTAAAATGTCCCCAAATCTCATTCAGAATCAACCACCATTGCACAAATCTCCTAAAATATACACAGCACAGCAGTCGTTTTATTCTTTGCATATCGGCATTCCATGTTTGTAATCAAGCATTAATAATGAGAGGTAAGCGATCAATCAACACTGCGTGCCAAAGGAAAATCAAAATCTAAAATCAGGACTGCTACTTAAGCCTATATTTGTGTGCATCAGTTCCTTTGGTTAGTTTTCTCAGACAACAAATGAAAATTCTTCACATTTTAACAAACCGGATACAAAGTCATAAGAATCGTGACAGATTTCAACACGACTCCTCCAAGGTAAGTATAATGCCATGAAAACCCCTGCAAATTCTTATAACTATATATATTTACATTAAAACACTGAAAACAGAGACAAGGCAGTCAGTGTGTTTGAACACATTAAAATATGTTACAACATCTTCCAATCAGGCTCATGAAAGATTAACAGGAAATTTTGACAAAAATAAAACTAAACATGATTAAATTATTCCTGTTAACTAAATGGAAATTATATATGAATACAACAGAAGGATGTGCCCTTAGGTTAACAAGATAACTATGTTACAGAAGAGAGGTGGTGCCACTACGTGACGACGGGGTCTTGAATACTTTTTGTGGCTTGAGACGACAAACCATCTTCACTTAGATAATACCTGCAACAGAAAATGATGAAATTAGATATTTAAGGACAGAAATTTGCTTCTTTTTTTTTTTTATCCCCAAGAATCAACTCAATGTTGTACAGGAAACACATAAAATGCTAGTTTACCACTGTGTGATTCCTTTTGCTATGTCATCTCCACTTAAATCCACCAGAACCTGTAATTTTAGGCAAAAAACAAAGAAAAAGATCAAGAAATGTTTAGAATCAGCACCTGCACTGATGGTTCGAAAAGCGATAAAAACGTCAGTGCGTAAGCCACTACAGGGAAAGCCTTCAGGAGATACCTTTCCCAGGAGCCCTTTGTGTTTGGACAGGATGCTCCCTCCATTCTTCACAGCAACATCCAGAGTTCTCCTGTGGAGCTCCACAATAGATACACTAAACTCAAACCTGCAAACACACACACACGCACACAAACATAAGCATACGCTTTTTATGTTTAGCATAAAATCCAGATTGTGCGTGGCCATTGTCTGGGCCTTCTCTACGTATCCCTTTTGTCCCTCTGCATTTTCTTGCAGGGTCCTGGTGGGTGAAGTGAATTGGTGTAAATGGGACCACCCGGCCGGTCTGCCTGGACGCATTTAAGAGCTGCTTGTCTCAGGCTTTGCTCTACCTTGTTCTCCATCCACTTAGCACCATGCAATTTTTACAGCTGCCTAAAGATTCAGACAGTGCTGACTAAAGAGAGTGGGGACTAACAGCGATGTGATGAACAGAAACAAAGACACTTAGGAACTTTGTAGCTGGCGGGATGGTACAAAGTTAAACTTTTTCTCAAATTTGGGGCAAGCCATTAAAGTAACCACCAATGAGAGGATACTGTCGACTGATATAAGACAAGGTGGTAAATACAGTACAGGGATGCCAAGGAAACTGGAGCCGGGGATGTCCACTAGTGACCAACTGTCAACAAACAAACTGATGTGTGACAAATGAATTGTTTTACATGTGGACAGGACTTAACTCAGTCACGTATGGTCACAAGCTTTTCTGTAATGACTGAAAGAAAGAGATCACAGATACAAGCTTTCTCCGAAGGGTGTCTGGCTCAGCCTTTGGCTCATTTGAGAGGGGGGTAGAGTAAAGCTGCCACTCCTCCACACAAAAAGAAGGTAGATGAGACAGTTCAACTATCGGACTGGGATGCATCATGGATGAGGTGTACTGTCCTACTGGGTGGAGGCAATGGGGCAGATCCAGGACATGCTGCAGAGATCTGGAAGAGCTGGAGAAGGTGGCCCTGGTTATCACTGCTTTGACTCACAGAGTAGCAGAAAACGGATGGATGGATAAACAGGCGATTGAATGGGTTGAAACTGGGTCTTTGTCATGGCTCAGTGGCCAGACTATGACAAATATGGGGATTGTTCTGGTCCTTTAAACAAAAGGTAAGGCAAAGAAATTTGCCTTACCTTTTGCAAACTGTAGAAAATTATTTGACTTTGAATTCACAACAAAGCAGCATACACTAGTGTAAACTTGAGGCCTTGCATGGTTTGTTTGGCTTGCTAACCACATTGTGGAGAGACAGATAAGTTGGTTTAAGTTGGTATTTCTGATTTGTGATTTCAACATGGTGCCAGTGGGGTTTAAGTAAGTGCCAGCAGGTGCTTAAGTGTCTGTGTGAGTCCATAATCTCTTTCTCTTTGACCTCAAGTCTTCTGTTCTAGCCCCTGCACAGCTATTGTTAACAATTTCATCAGCCTCCTAATAGTTAAACTGCAAACCAGCATAAAGTGTTTCTGACATGGGCATATTGCCTCTCTAAGTTTGCACTAAGTCATCAAAACTTTGAAAACCCCTGCAGGCTCAAGATGGCTTATAATCAATACAACTGCATCAATAGCCAGCGGGACTAGGAAAGCACCGACGTGCTAACTCCAGCCTACACGAAGGAGCTGAATGATGCGATCGGCTTTCATCCACGAGGCTAAAAGATTTAGTCTGAGCACTGAAGCTCAACTGCAAACAAAAGTGTCCAAAACAAACAGAAACTCGAGGTGATGGATCCACAGCGGCCACAGGTGATACGAATCTCAGCTCAGCAGGGTCATATCGTCTGTGCAAGCTCTTTTCTTCAGTAATAAAAAAGCTCTGTTGCTAGAAAAAAATTAAATATTCCACAAATGCACCCTTACTGTGGGTCTGAATTCAAGAAGGACCCTGAAAATATAACTGAACATTAAAACTGGAAATAAAAGGAACGCTTTGAAGGACTCTCAAAACACAGCCGGTTATCAAATTAATACAGCGGCATAACTGCAGCTGAAGGCAGAAATATTCTCAGAGCTTATAACAATCGGACACAGGTGAAGCAAAACAACAGATCCTCAGTAATCACATTACGTTACAAATCTGCAAGGAATCTCAGCAAGTACTGATGCAAACCCACGTCTGATCGTAAACAGGATTAAGAGTCCTCTTCATTGTGCTTGTCTTCCTCTTCCCCGTCCGGCTCTTGTCAGGCAGCAAATAGAGGCGTATGAAGGGGTCCGAGCCGTCTTTGGTGAAGGCTATCAAGTTGCTGAGGACACACAGGACAAACGTGTTTTCACTCACATGTTGCCAGGCACGTGTTGCTTGTTAAATCTTTACAGTTAGCAGCTCCACAGGAAAGAAAGTGATTTGAATACCATGGGCTGAATCTGCACAAACTCAAGTTAATGGCACAAAGAGCCCAAAAACAAAAAGTCCTTCGAACCACTTTGTGTAAATTCAGTGTATTGTAGTAGTTTGGAGCTCACCGGCAGGCATGCACCACCACAATGAGTTTATTCCTCTGGGAGCTGTGTCGAACAGTCAGCTGGATCTCACCCAGGGGGTACTGGCTGGGGGCCGAGCCGCTATAAACACACCAAAGTCAGTCAGTGTCACGTCCAGGTGCTGCGGTCCAATTTACAAAGTGCATGCATACAGGGACTGATTAATTGTTTGACGGGTAGGCTGATAAAATATTTATAAAGGTGAATATTCAAAAATCACGATGACATTTAGATGGAGGCCAGAATTTAAATGAAGTTGATGGAAAAACAATAAGAAACCCTGAGATGAGCCAAGCTGGAAAAGCTGGAAAATAAACAATAATAAAAGTAATATATCATATCTGCCATTTACTTCTGCAGCTGACGAAGCCTTTGCTGAAGCTCCACGGTGGCAATAGGCAGGGAGATATCCGATGCCAGGCTGGCTGTGGACTTGTTGTGCGGCAGGTGTTTCTGGGAGCTTGACATGGCGGTGGTCAGGTTGGTGGTACTGTAGCGATGGCTGGCTCCGTACGGCTCGCCGTCCCTGTCCTTGAGGTTGAGAGTGGAAGCTTCTATAGGATGCAAATGCGAATGCGTGGGCGGAGGCAGCGGCGAATCTGAGACTGATGGTCTCAGGGACGAGGCTGGGGGTGCCTGTGGCACGCCGGACTTGTTGACCTGGACTGAAGAAGGCTGGTCTGAGGACACTTGTTTCTCCAAGGACAGGATCTAGAGAAAGACATGAAGATGTTTAGTTGATAGAGAATAGAAAATAAAAAGTTAAAGTTAATGTAGGTGCTGTCATTTTACGTGAAAAGTCTCTAAATTTAGCAGACCTTTCTAAACTGTGTTTTTTTAATTTTTTATTTTATTATGTTTTTTTAAGAGTCTGCAAAGTAATTTCTCTTCTAAATGTATGTTGGTTGTGCTTCAATATGGAGAAACTGTTTTAGAGCAGGTCAATATCTTAATGTAGCTGCATTCCTTTTCTTAATTGGATCACAGTCATTCAGTATAATACACTTCATTTTGGTCTCAAGACGGGCAATGCAGTTTGTTTGTTATAGCTTCCTGTGTTTCCAGATGGGAACAGGAGAAAATATCCTCATGAGCAGTAAGTAATGGCTTTAGTTAAGGCTGAACTACGCTATGGATGGCAATGAGGCAAACCACCAAAGACTACCTGTCAAATCACTGGATTTAGTGCCTCAGGCAAAGAGATATAATTTTAGTGGTGCATCTCGAAAACGTCTACAGCACAAACAGCAATCAAATCAGAATCTGACTTTAATTTTCACCGCCGTGATGCCGTGACAGCAGACATGACGCTATGCCTGTTCCAATTTTCATTAAGCCACTAAGCCCCACAGTTTCAGAGTGAAAAATGCTGTTAACTAAATAAAAGATAAATAAATCAATGTCAGAGTCTCAGATTTTACAGAAGACTCACAAATGAATCCTGGAAATATTCCTCCAGAGTGTCAAACACGGTGACATCACAGTTCCCTATAAATTTGAATCCTGCAGCTTCTTATTTAACCTCCTAGGACCTGGAGTCCATGTATGTGGACATCACATTTTGGGTTATTTAGACCAAAATACTCAATTTTGCTCTACAAGGGCCTGATATCCACTTTCGAGGAGAATATACTACTAGTGTTCAGTCAAAATTTTAAACAAATATCCTCATATGTGGCTCTTATTTTTCTTAGAAACAAAAATCAGGTCAAAAAAAATCTGGTCATTCTTTGTTTTTATATTCATTGGGTCCCAATCAGCCCAGATATCAAAGAGAAATCAAGAGAGTTCGGGTCTTAGGAGGTTAAACTTGTTGAACTGCACTTAAACACCAGGGCTGTCTCTGCGTCATCCTGGATCTGCCCCATTCTGAAGGAATGTCACACTCGCGACTTGTTGGCTTTGCAACTGATGGGCTGATAAAGACACACCTGTGTGAAAAGATCGATCCCAACCTGACTGTCTTTTACTGCATCATTCATAAGTTAGAACCTGCAAACATGTGGAACATGTTACAGAGCCGAGTCATTTTCATATATGTATCGACTCTCAAACTTCAAAGTCTGCTGCTGAACTGAGTTAATGAGCCGGGTCACTTTGTTCCCTGTAGGAAGAGTTGCAAACTACTCTGTAACTGCTACACTGACAGCAGTAATCAACAGCAAATACCCTAACAGGCTTCAGAGTAT